TGCCTTTGCTTGTGTGATACATGAATAAGGTGAGGCTGAAGGTTAAAATGTAGTCTATTAGCTGAGCCACAAGGATTTGGGCTGGGACATACCCATGTACCACGTGCTTGTTTCCCAGGAAGCAGAAGGAGCTTATTTCTGGAGAAAAACAGGCAAGGAAATTCTCCTAGTATAAAGAAATGCAGATCCAGTGTGTCATGAGATGGAAACTAATTTGTGCACAGTTAGGGAGGAAGTATGGTTTTGTTGATAAAGCTCAGAACTGGAAAGTCAGGTCACCTAGGCTGCATTCCTAACTCTCTATCAGGCTTCCTGTGTGACGTGGGGTAAATCACTTAACTTCTGTGTACCACACATTGCTCATTTGTAAGACAGAGACAACTAGAGTGAGTCAGAACCCAAAATTCCCCTTCTATGGGAAATTTTGAAATTTCCTTTTTTTTTGGTTCCAAATTAGAATGGAAAATTGAAATTTGCTGCAGAGTGAAATGGTGACATTTTGTTTTGACCTTATTGACTGAACTTTTATATTATATTATTACTACTAAAGTCAAAACATTTCAACTTGTATGTCGTACCTTATGCTAATCATAATAGTTGGAACAATCCATAAGAATGGCCATACTGGGTCAGTCCAAAGGTCTGTGTAGCCCAGTATCTTGTCTTTTGACACTGGCCAATGCCAGGTGCCCCAGAAGGAATGAACAGAACAGCTAATCATCAAGTGATCCATCCCCTGTCTCCCATTTCCAGCTTTTCGCAAACAGAGGCTAAGGACTCTTCAGAGCATGGTTTGCATCCCTGCCCATCCTCACTAATAGCCATTGATGGACTTATCCTTGCATAGCACCAACAGAACCCCTCAATGCATTTTTTTTTAAACAGAGGCACAGCCATGGGTGGCACCTAAGGGAGGCTAAGCCTCCCCAAACTTCATGCCCCCATTTGGAGCCCCTGGAAAAATCTGCCCCCACTGCGGCCCTGGGGCTGGAGTAGATCTTGCTCCCTGAAGCAGCCCAGGGGTTCTGGAAGGGGTACAGAGCTTTTCTGGTCTTGGGGCCACAGCAGAGAGGGAGTAAGAGGGGGGAAGGGCCTTAGGGGGAAGAGGCAGAGTGGGAGTGGGATGGGGCCGTGGGGGAAGGGACTATGCGTGGGGTCACACGGGAAGAGGTGAACTCAGGTGGGGCCATGGGTGGAAGGAGCAGAATGGGAGAGGAGCTCTAGGCTTGGAGCTCCAGCCAAGGCTGGGAGCTCCACCCACAGAAACGGACTTTTGGTTTTGCCAATGGGTGCTACTCTCCGCCCCCTCCCCCTTGTGAGAAGTGGGTGGGGCCTCAGGGAAAGAGTTCGAATGGGGCAGGGCCTCGTGGTGGAGCACAGAAGGGGTCTTGGGGGAACAGAGGTGGACTGGGGGGTGGGGCCTCGGGGTGGAGCACTAGTGGAGGGGCCATGATCAGGGCGCTGCAGCACACAAAAGATGAATCCTGCCCTGCGGGTGCTGAGCACCCCTTATTTTTTTTCCAGTGGGTGCTTGAGCCCTGGAGCACCCATGGAGTCGGCACGCATGGCTCCACTGCAGTCCTGGACAAGGCTGAGAGCTTGACCCTGGCTGGGGCTGAGCTCTCACCACTCTCCCTCATACACACACTCTGTGGCCCCGATTGAGCTCTTAGCTCCTCCCCCCTGGGGGGGGGGCTGAGAGTACCAAGCTGGGGCAGGCCTTGGCCAGGAGGGGCAGACGGCCAACCTCCCCAACAGGAAGCTTCACCTGCCTCCCATGGGCCTAGCTGCAGTAACAAGCTATAGCTAGCCCTCCCCACCTGCACCGTAACAAATCCTCTCTTACAAAGAAAGATGTTGGCACAAGCTTTCACCTCCCTTCCCTGTCCCCCTCAACCCTAGGATAATAGATGACTGCTCTCCTTTCCCTCTGGGATTTTATTATAGAGCATTTTGTCTTTCACAAATAGCTCCCCTTATGGAATATCTGTGACCTTAAAATGTCACTTACTTGGAAGCAATAAATCAAATTGCTTATAGGATGTGAGTCACTGAAACACTACTTGAAAAGGTCAAATTGCAATAAGAAGGAAAACAACATTTCTGCTGCTGGCAGCAGACCAGATAATAATAGATCATTTCTATTTTAAATGTGTGTCTGGGTTGCTTATAAACCAACCGGGCATCCATTTTGTTAAAGCAGAGGATTTCCTCTTACTTTCATCACTATTTCGCCAGCAAGGTAGTGGCCTGCGGGTGTTTATGGAATGCTGTCTGCGTGCCTGTAGCCACACAACTTCCCAAGGAACTCAGAATCTTAAGAGGCATTAGAGGAGATAAAACAATTAAAGATTCAGTTGGAAAGGAAAGATGGTCTGGCTAAGGCACTGGATGGGTAGGAGACATGGGTTTGAATCCCAGTTCCACCATGGAGTGTCTGTTTTACATTGCACAAGTCATTTAATTTATGTAGTCTTTCATTCCCCATTTCATACAACAGGGGAATAACTATTTTCTTTTTCCCACCCTCTGTCTTTATTTACAGTATCTTACTACATGTATGTGTGACAGATGTGAGGCTGGGGAAGCATGGAAACTTTACATTATTGTAATGAGATGTGCCAGATACTATTGGCACATAGGATATTCATAGACTACTATGTCTATAAATGCTTTATGTATATTTGTGAATTGTGTTCTGGTGGGGGGAATTAAAATTGGGAGTGAGGGGAAAGAAAACACACTAATGCAAATCCCTGGACAGTTAAACAACTTTAGAGAAGTACCACCATTTGGGGGACCGGGGCAGGGGGAACTGTAGCTACTGGTTTTGACTAGTTTTAAGAGGCCCAGGAGAAAAAGAATGCAGAATGGTAGAAAGTGGAAAGTCTAATGTAGTGGAGGGGAGACTCTCATTCAATCCAAAAATTGACATGAGACTTTAACCAAGAGTGTTACTCTGCTGTAAGAATTTGAAGGACTTTGAAATATACCAGGGTCTTCATGGGAAAGACGGGTAACAACTGGTAAGCTTAGCCTGCATATAGACTTTTTATTTTTTGGTATGTTTTGTCTGCAATGTTTTTGTCCTAAAGTAAATGTATTGTGCTTTGTGAAAAGGTGGCTGGTCATTGTTAATCCTGTCCAAGGTAAAAAAAATTTAAAAAATTAAAAAAATAAATCAATCAGTATGTTTGAGACTCTTGCTTGTAAGACAATTGCATCTTGATCAGGGGTGGGCAATCCAGCCCTCAAGCTCTGGTCGCGGGCTTGCTCCACACATGCCGTGGCTCCAGGAAGCAACGGCATGTTCCCCCTCCAGCTCTTACACATAGGGGCAGCCAGGGGGCTCCGCACGCTGCCCCTGACCAAAGTGCTGGCTCTGCAGCTCACATGGGCCAGGAACCGCAGCCAAAGGGAGCTGTAGGGGCGATGCCTGCGGACAGGGCAGTATGCAAAGCTGCCCGGCCAGGGCCATGCCTCTAGGTAGGAGCCGGAGGGGCGACTGCCACTGCTTCTGGGAGCGGCTTGAGATGAGCGCTGCCCGGCGCCTGCACCCCTGACTTCCTCCCATGCCCCATCCCCCTGCTCCAGCCCTGATCCCCCTCCCACCCTCCAAACCCCTCGGTCCCAGCCTGGAGCACTGTCCTGCACCCCACAGCCCTCACCCCCCACCCACCCTGACCACCAATTTTGTGAGCATTCATGGCCCATCATACAATTTCCATATCCAGATGTGGCCCTCAGACCAAAAAGTTTGCCCACCCCGATCTAGATGCTCCAATGCTATCACACATCTCGGGTAACTGCACCTTTGACCCCTTCATACCATCCTTTACAACACCCCACTTAGGGCTCAGGCCTCTAGCCGACATCTAAGTGGGGTGTTTTCAAAGATACCACAAAGGGGTCAAAGATGCAGTTACCCCACAATGGTGACAGCATGTACAGTGATTGGAGCATCTAGATCAGTGGTGGGCAACCTGCGGTACGCGGCCAGTCAGGGTAATCTGCTGGTGGGGCGCCAAACAGTTTGTTTACATTTTTACAGCCGCCTGCAGCTCCCAGTGGCTGCGGTTTGTCATTCCCGGCCAATGGGAACTGTGGGAAGCGGAGGCCAGCACATCCCACGCAACTTCCTGCAGCTCCCTTGGCTAGGAACAGCGAACCGCAGCCACTGGGAGCTGTGGGCAGTCATTCAAATGTAAACAAACTGTCTGGCAGCTGGCCAGCAGATTACCCTGACGGGCTGCAGGTTGCCCACCACTGATCTAGATGATCAGAATGGTCCCTTCTGGCATTTAAGTTATGGCCCAGATTTACTTCAAAGGAAAAATCCTCAGCGCATAAATCCGTGTCAATCTTTAATATGCAGCATCAGGATTCAAATCCGTCCTAGCTTCATACCAAAGTATCCTGTTCTAGTTCTCTTTTCTATTACCGAGCTTCAGCTCATCTAAGAGATCAGCACTGAAGAGCACGTGTTGATAGAAGTGCTCTGATGGAGCTGGATACACTCCGATGCATCACTAAGAAAAAAACTGAACAGAAACACTTCATACGTCATTCTTTTTCCTCACCTCCCCATCTCCCAGGCTAGTTCAAACTCAGTAAAAAAAATTCTGAGAGTATTCGAGAAGGGATGAAAATAAAGATGGAAGTGTGGCTATGAAGAGACTATTGCATCTCTATGACTGAATTTTGGAAGCTTCATTAAAATGTATCCTCAGTATTTATATACAAACTATGTGAAGAATGCAATGCTATTCAACACAAATCCTATTACAAAATGTCTTCCTACGTACAACATGTAGTCCAGTGGGGTCCTAATTCTAATTTGGGCTCTGGAACACTACAAATGCAGAATAATGAAAGCAACATTGTTTACTCTCACTTTATCTACCAGTATATGAATTACACAGTTTTGCTGTTTAATTCTTTTCAGCACACTGTTCAAACTTTCTAAACAAAAATAGGTAAATAATCACATGAAATTGAGATGCAGTAAAAATATTTATTGTTTTGTTACAAAGTGTTACATACTAAATCTAGAAATTGTAAATTTTAGTCAAAGAGAAAATACCATTCCATAACTTATGAAAATATCAAAAGCTGAATTTCAGCACATGCCTTAGTAAAATAAGTTATTTTCTCCTAAACCTTTTTCTTACCTAGTTCACCAAGATCTAAAGACGAGAGCAGAGACTCTCTGTCCTGGGGAAATTAATGTTTCTTAGGACAGAAGATTCCTATGTTAGCCTCAATATAAGTCTCATACTGGATTGACATAAGTGTACATGTGTCATAAACAAACATGGAAAAAAGGTGTGTAACAATATTGTTAACAAGATTCGCTAATAAGGTAGAGGTCTAGTCTCTCCTCAATATGTATTCAAAGCAGTTATAAAAGAATAGATCCTTGAATACTACTATACTATATATTAAACTGATAAGAGGTGATAATCCTACCTCAGGAGAAACGTGCAAGTTATTAGCAGAATAGCTTTCTTAAAATAGACTTGTCTATACAAAGCCCAAAGAGAGTTACTTTCCTAAACTAAATTTACTGGTTTTCCTTTTCTAAGCTATTTTAATATTTCCACATCTTTTAGTTGTTTGAATCAAGTTTTCAGGAACTTCCTAATTTTTAATTTAAACCAATGCAAAAATATTATACATGTAAAGTTGTCACATATATCAAACTCAGTGGTGCTTTGACTAACTTCTGAATATCATCTGTGGATTTCTGAATTGTACCTAAGTAACAAGATATTGTTAGCGAAACCTATATCTAAGGCATAGATTTTAAATTTAAAAAGCACATTTCTAAAGAAAAACATCCATTTGTTATTCTGTTTGTGTGGAGAAATCACTCATTTTCTCAAATTATCACATCATTCTGGGCTTGACCCAGTGTCTCGACCTGATATAGGTAGCATAATAGGGGCACCTGCAAAGAATGGAAAGATATTTTGTGTTTGAGTAATTAGCAAGTTATAAATCTGTGTCTCCTCACATTGCTTGGCCTCACTATATAAAGTGTTTGTGGATGATTAACACAAAAGACTAAAATAAATATACAATACCTTAAAATATTCTCTGATCCACAGAAATGGTCCATATTTCCATTTTACCTTGTTTTTTCAAAAAAGCTATTAACGGGAAAAAGGATTTATGAAATCTCCTTCGTGAAAATAAATACCACTACACTGAGTTATTGGCAAAAAATACTAACGTAGCAGATCAGATTTTCAAAATATTAAAAATCTAGGGCCACATGCAATATGGGCAAACATTCACACACAGAATTTGTATATGTAGTTACCATGACTGCACATGTGAATTTAATATTTGTGCATACAAACACCAGTTAAATGATTAAACTGGCCACCTGTATGTGCAGATACTGTGACAGAGCATGTTAAGTACTGGTAATTGTTCATGCAAATTAGACTTACAATTCTGTAGTCATTTTTGCTGATGGCCTTAAGCTTTCAAAACTTCAAAATTTGTCATTCATCCAGTTGATCTACATCTAGAATTTTTAATTTCTACAGTAACAGATATAAAAATTAGGAAATAAGGCGGTACTTAAATCTTTTTTACATTTTTTAAAAATTATAGGTATATATTGTTTCTACTTTCATGTCTGACCATTTTTATTCCATCTTTAACATCTCTTTTTCTCCATTGTAGCAGACTCATCTGTTTTATTCCTTGCAGGAGACAATGTGCTATTCCTAGTTCCATCACTGACTAGCAATGTGATCTTGAACAAATCTCAACCCCTCTCTGCTTCAGTCTTCCTCATCTGGGAAACAAAGATAATAATGCTGCTCACATTTATAAAGCTCTCTTACATCCTCAGACACAAAGCCATATATAAATACTATTAATTAACATTCCTATACTGAGCTAACCTTCAATATTTGGAGCCAGAAGAGTACCATTATTTTTGTCCCAAAATAGGAAATGCTATCTGGGCCTCTAAAACTGCACCAGAAGAAAATCCCCTGTGATTCTAGTGTGTAATTCCCAAAAGAATAACTGTGTAGAGATACAAAAAAACTCCTCTTTTTTAACAGAAAAGCACTATAGGTACTAGTTAATATGGTGGGTCTCACCTTCACCTGGCTGCAATTTTTTCTGCAGGTGCCTTTAAAATGGCTTATCCTGCCTTGTTTTCGGGACTAAAACTTTTTCATTAATCTTCCTTTTTTACACTGTCCCTCTAGGACCAAACACTGACATACCACAAATACCACTCCCTACAATACAAGAATAGCTGGCTAAAGTTGAACCTAAATAAGATTGTGGTTTTGCTGGTAGGCAGAGGGAACCACTTAGAAGAACTTGCTTCCTGTATAAAACTCCTGTTATTGTAGAAATCTATCCTTCAATTGTTAAGATGGTCTGAGCCTGGGGCTCCTTTTGGACTCAGTGTTACTGAATGTCTATTCACCAATAGTTGAAAAAAGCCACTCACTGTGATCTATGCCTCACCAAAATATCCCACAAAATTATGGTGATCCTATTTAAGATCTCCAGGCTTGATTATTTTGGCTCATATCAAAAAATGAATCCACACTACCTGAACCAATCCAATTAGTACAACATGGAGCATACCAACTGCTTAGAAACACAGGTCACCATGAACACATTGGGCTGATGCACCACTCTGTAAAGGCTTCCCATTGAAGAAAGTTGAGTTCTAGGTTTGTCCTGTTAGTCAAAGCTCTCCATGGAACTGGCCATGCCTATCTCTTTCTTTGTGAATATTATCCCCTTGGCAGCTGGGTTCAGCTGAAATGATTTAAACTGTCAACCAACGGGGGGAAGTTTGACTGTGGGAGACAGAACTTTCCCAGGAAAGTTGCCTACTCTATGGAATTTTCTCCTGCAACAGATAAGGATGACTGTTGACTTCATAGCTTTCACAAGAATACAAAATTTCTTCTTTGCCTTCACTTTCGTCACACACAGATATATAATATTACCACACAATAACAGAAAATGCCCTAAAATTAAACCAGCTTTTTCTCCTACAGGTTGGGAAGAAAGATTGTTATTGTTATTTCTATTTTTAAATGCAAAGGAGGCGCTCACACAGTACAATGATGGGGCCATATAAACACCTAGCTAGAGAAAAAATACCAGTTCATATGATTGTAAGGGCAACTTATACAGGGAATAGTTATAAACTTAACCCAATGTTTTGACAATACGCTTTACCGAGCAAGCCCATAAATATGTTACAAGGATTGTGTGATAATCCTAGGCTAAAATAAGCAGGTAGGGTGGGATATTCAAAAGCGCCTCAGAAAGCTGGGTACCCAACTTCATTGAAAATCTCACCCATAGGTTAAACAAAAGATTTACAAAAGTTAAAATGTTTTCAACATCTCATCTAGGAGTTGAAACCACCACTATTGCAGCAAAGAATCCTTAGGGAAAACAGGTTGAAGCTAAACAACAGAGACCATGTCTACACTGCAAACTTTGGTTGACGCAAGTTACATCAGCATAAAGCTACCACTGTTAGTACATCACTCGTGCATGCATACGTGCCTCCTTGCACAAGTATTGCACATCCTCATGAGTGCTTGTGTCAATACATGGTAGGTATCTCAGTGCAACCCACTACTGCCCAGTGCACTGTCTTTTGGGATGTTTTGGCAATGTATAGTGGGGCAGCAACACGTCAAGCACGGTGACTGGGGGTAAGGGGCCAACTTCCCAGTTTGCAATTGTTTTCATCCCATCCATGCCATGTCATCTCTATCCCATAATTTTCATGCCTTTTCCCCCATGAACCTACGCAGCCCTCCTCAATGTCCGTTTCTGACAGAAGCATGACGCTTGCAGTTCTGCACTATTGCTGTAAGCATTGTGAGCACAGGACACATGATCTTCGCAGAGCCGTAACACGAACCAAATAAGCAGGGAACACAACAATATCTTGGAGCACAGACTGCTCTGGGACATAGCAAGAACCAATTCAAAGTTGTTTGTTGCTGGTGTTCAAACTGCAGGTGGTAGAGCACCACTTCTGGAACCAAGAAATGAGCACTGACTGGTGGGATCACATCATAATGCAGGCTTGGGATGACGAGCAGTGGCTTCAGAACTTTTGAATGCACAAGGCCACATTCCTGAATCTGTGTGCCGAGCTTGCCTCAGCCCTCCAGTACAGGGACATCAAAATTAGAGCTGCACTGATGGCGGAGAAGAGAGTAGTGATTGCACTGTGGAAACTTGCAGCGTCAGATTGCTACTGGTAAGTGCAAAATCATTTTGGAGTTGGAAAATCCACTATCATGCAAGTGTGCAAGGCCACTAATCATCTCTTGCTATGCAGGACTGTGACTCTCAGCAATGCGCAGGACATACTGGATTGATTTGCAGTAATGGCATTCCTGAATTGAGGTGAAGCAAAGATAGTATACATATCCCTATTTTGGCACAAGCCCATCTTGCCACAGAGTACATCAACAGAAAGGGCTACTTTTCTACAGTTATGCAAGCACTGGAGGACCACTAGGGTCTCCTCACTGACATTAACTTTGGCTGGTCAAGGGAAGTGTCTGATGCTTGCATCTTTAAAAATACAGGACTGTTCAGAAAGCTACAAGCAGGGACTTCCTTTTGTTCATGATGTTGAAATACCAATAGCAATCCCGGGGAACCCAGCCTACCCCTTCCTCCCCTGACTCATGAAGCACTCCAATAGCACCAAAAAAAGATTTTGCTATTCGCTTAAAGGTGAAGAAAGACAGTTGAATGTGCTTTTGGAAGACTGAAGGGATGCTGGTGTTGTTTACTCACAAGACTGGATCTCAGTGAAAAAAAGACATCCCAATGGTTACAGCTGCCTGCTGTGTTCTGCATAATCTCAGGGAAGCAAAGGGGGAAAAGTTTCTGCCAGAGTGGACTGGCAGTCTGCTGAGTTAGAACAGCCAAACACAAGGGCTATTAGAAGAGCTCAACACTGAACCACACATCTCAGAGAGGCTTTGAAGAGCATTTTAACAGTGAGCCAGAGTCATGTGTGGTGTACTCTGCTCTACCTGGCCCTGCTGTTTTGGGGCCTGTTAGGAATTGTGTGGTGTACATCTATGAATATAGCACTGTCTATGCATCTCTTAATTTTGTGGTGTTTGTTGTACATTTATGATTATTACGCTGTTTGTCACTGATCCTATGAGTTGTGCCACACTGTAGAGTAACAATTAAGTAGGTGCTTTCAGAATTGCTGGGCACTCTGAAGCATGTATTGTGAACTAAAAGATTATTTTCCAAATAATATAATTTTATTCAGTAGCAAAACCAGTGCAAAGAAAAATCTGTGCAATTTAAAAGTAAATACATTAAAACTTAATAAATTAATGAAACAGAACAACCAGTGGAAAGAACATTCCTGTCCATTAATCTACATATACAACAACCATGGCTTTCACAGATCAGTTTATGGGATTGTGGTTGTTCTTAATGTCTGCTGGGATAGAGTGGTAGGGATAGGGATAAAGCCCCTGATACCACATGGAATGTAGGGTGGGAGGGCATAGGGAGGTGCTGTTATGGAGTTTCCCATGGACTGCAAAGGAGGGCAAAACTGGGATTGTTGTAACTAAATCCACAAGAGTCTGCAGTATCTCTGTTTGTTGTTGGAGAAGGTCCATTATGTCTTGGTGCATTTCCCTCTCCTTCTCGTCTCTGCTTTTTCCTTCCCCAGGCTGTCTGTAATGTTCACCCTCCAGACCCTTTCCTCAGTCTCACGCAGCACTGGCTTGCAGGATCTCATTGAACACGTCATCCCAAGTCCTCTTCTTTCTCCTCCTTCTCTAGCTCAGGTGTTCCTCAGGTGCGGAGGCGAGAACCTCTCTGCGCCACAATAGCAGCAGCTGCAGATAAAACACACAGAGGTACCACTGTCAATATAGTTACAACAGGAAGTGAAAGTTAAAAATCAGAACCCCCTTCTCTTGCATCCCTAAAATTTTAAACAAGACATGCGTATTGACACTTTTGCTTCAGAGTGTTTGTGCACGGTGCCACTCATGAGTCAGCCATGGTGAGTATGGCCCACCAAGGGTGAAGGAAATGAGGGAATTTTGCTCAGTTGCATGAAACTGAGTATAGGACAATGGTATTAAATACTGGCACCACTGTCCACAGGAAGTGGTGATTTTAGCGGATCTCTCACTCCTGATATAACAAAGGCGCAGAAAGCACAGCTGCTGTTTACTATCTGCTGCTAGCCTGTGTACTACAAGGGTGCCTGCTGAAGTTATTCCTGGGTGGCATGGGAAAGTGTCATACCACAAAGGAAGCAGTAAGGCTGCCATCCCTAGAAACCTTCAGGAGAGGATTGCAGAGTACCTCCATGAAAGTTTCATCAAGCTCTCTCATGAGAATTCAAGGGACATCCCTGTGTACATAAACTGCTCCACATGCCCCCACTGGCCTAATTCTACAAGAGAATGAAAAGCAGATAACAACAATACCTGTCTTTGTTGTACTCCTACTTCTTTTAGTACAAGTAAATTAATGAAAAGTCAGTAATTGTGCCATGTTAAATTGCGGGCACCAGCAGTACGTCATTGTAATGGGAAACTCATTTACACACTTTCCCGAAGTTTCTTCCCCTGCATCAAGCTCACCCATGCTCGACTGCTGGGACTGACTGGACTGTGGTGGAGTCTCAAAACAGGTCCTGGCGCCCCGCATAGGTGGAGCTCCCTGGTCGCACATCCCCCATCCTCCTCCTAGTTGTTCATGCCAGGGACCTGTGGCTCCACAAAGGTATCCATGGTTATGTGTGGGATATCAGTAGGGTCTCTGACAATTATGGCATGCAGCTCTTTGTAAAAGTGGCAGGTCTGCGGGTTAGCACCAGAATGACTGCTGGCCTCTCGATATGGCTAACCCATTCCTTCTCTTTCACACAGCACTGCAGCTGGCCTGTCATACTCCTTCTCCTGCATACCCTGTGCAATCTGTTCATAGATAAACATGGCTGGTCCATAGCTGTGCTTACACAGCCTCTTCTCTCCACAGGCCCAGGAGATCCAATATCTCCTGTCTATTCCAAGCTGGAGTGTGTCTGGATCACGTGGCCGCCATGGTCAGCTGCATAGTTGCGTACAACAATGGGAGAGCTGGTAGGTATGCTCTCCAGCTGGACAAACAGGAAAAGGCATTTCAAAATTTGCAGGGTTTTAAAAGAGAGGGAGGGTCTTTCAGTCTCCATGACCCCTGGACAATGGCATTCACAATTGTGACCAAAGAGGTCAATGTCAGACACTGTTGAACAGCTGCTGGAGGGCTGTTAGAATCCATGTAAGTAACGCAGTGTTTACACTTGCGCTGCGTCGACCTCAGTACATCAACCATGGCTTAATGCTGCTCAGTGAGGGAGTGCTACTGCATTGCTGTAACGGGGCACTTACATCAGTAAGAGACAAATTTAGGTATAGACACATGCACATGCGGCTTACGTTGACCTAACTTTGTAGTGTAGACCAGGCCTGATTAACTCCTTATGCTGTCCTATGGTATATTTCTTAATCCCTTTAAAACATAACAGTAATTCATTATTAATGAAAAGAGTATTAGCAAGTGCATTAGAGAGTACAGTAGGACTCAAATGTTTATTTTCATCCCTGCTACAGTTTTAATAGCCTGCATGTAATTCCCAGCCTGTGATTCTCCAGTCTATGAACACTTTGTGAATAATCAATCTTCTGGTTACATTACTATGCAGTGGCATTTCTGGGAGTTGATATAATTCCTGTAATCTGCAAGCTGTTTCAGGTACATACTGGAAGGCCATCTGTGCATCTCAACAAAATTGCGTTCTTCCGCTAAAAGTAAATAAATAGTATTAATGTTAAACATGTGTATACACACACACACATACACTACAAACTGAAAAACTTCTAAAAATTGCTTTAAACAACATTAAGGGCACACAAACCCATAACAGAAGGGAGCAATAAAGTTAAGGCTGAAACTCTGTCCATTGCGCCGATGTTTTTTTTGCAGCACAAACTGTAAAAATCAACTGTCTGAATACCCTTGTTGTTGTGCTAGGCATAAATAAGTTAATTAATTTTAAATGAACATAGTATTCAGAAAAGATATCAAAATGACAGTCCTGGAGACAAATCCTCTATCCACAAAAGAGAAACAACATAGGTAGCAACAATGCGGAACACTTTCTTATGCAATCACAACACACAAGGAATAGTTCGTTCTCCACTCCTGACTTCCTATACTGAGAGTGACAACAAAGGGGATATGGATACATCTCTAATAAGAATTGAATTTAAAACTACTACTCAATTTTACACAGATCACCAAAAGTCTTCTAATAGTGACAAAAGGGTAAAATAAGACCTATTGCTGAATTTCCTTTTTGTTGCGGGTTTAGCTTAATTTTTTTCTTTTTTGTTTTTGTTTTTTGTTAGTGATCTTCCTAAAAAATAACTTTTTTTGAAACACAATTTTAGGTCATCATAATTAGGCAAGATACATCCTTCCTACTAACTCAGTGTCCCAGCATTTCCTGAATCAGATTGCATCAGCGGATGTCCACAGCCAATTTTCTTGGGTTAGGGACAGGCAGAATACAGATGTCAGCAGTGTACAATAGGGCCATATTGTGAGAGGTGCTAAGCTAATACAACTCCCATTAATCAGGCAGGTGGGTTTCTACATTTCTCTTAAAGCAAACTGGGTGGGTACACCTCACAAGGTTGGCTTAAAAAAAAAAATTATATATAATTTACCTCTTCCACTTCTATTTCCTAAACCAATTTGACTGACTACTTTGTCACTTGGATTTACTTACATGAATGAAGTGCTATTTAATCATTTGGTTTCATAATACGCTATATCACCTACTGAACAGCGCTATAGAGATCCTAAATTTTTTCTTTAAAAATTTTTTATGCTTCTTATGTGGTGTTTAAATACCATGTCCTTTGAATCAAGATTACAAGTTGTTTCCATGTATAAAATAAACACACTTAAGTACATCTCTCCGAAGTCTTATTTATCTCCTCATATGCTCAGAAGCAGCATTACTTAGCATTAATTCTTCAGTCCAAATACAGTGGAAAAGGTTGGGTATTTTTTTAGTTTTTAAAAGACTAGAATTGGTTAACTACCTGAAAGATCTTGAAATTCAGGCTTTTGACTGAAGATGAGGTAGTTAGTGGCAATAAAATGAAGGAGCCAAGTTGAAAGGCAGTCAGAGTTGTGAAACTGCAAGGAAAAAAGGGAAGTGAAACAGAATACAAATAGTGTTCATGACTAAAACAGATAAAAGATAGCAGAAGGAAAAAAGCAGAAGTCATAATTTAAGATTTCCAGTGTCAAAGTAGCAGCATAGCAAATGAAGAATGGTATCCATGGCAAAAATAAATGAGGGAAAATATAGCACAACAATCTGGCAACAACATACAAATTCTCAGAACGTCAGGTGGAAGTAAATGTACTACCATAGGGATAGGCAAACTGTTTCACGTTAACAACAGGGCATGGTGCCAATTGTTAAAAACTGCTGTTAAAGGCAACCTTCCTTAGCTGAGGTAAGTGTTGAAGCAGCTGCTTAGACCCCTCCCTCCAGTGATAAATCTCTGATGAAGAATTACAAACAAGCACAGGTGCTACTACTGCAGCTGATCTACTATTAAATTAAGGGAAAAATGAGTAAGAGATGTCATAGGAAGAAGCTGACTTTAATAGTTTTTTGAATCCCAAATCTGTGTGGGAATGATGAGGGGATACTCTCTCTGAACAGTTACTGAAAAACAGATGTAATACAGGAGAATTTTAAAAGAAAATTACAGTGTATTACAAATTATATTCTAATTATTACTTCTATTTACAAAAAGAGTAAACTAAAACACAAAGTGTTTGAAATAGCAGCAAACAGGCAGCAAACAGGTAGCTGCCAGCCACCATGACAGTCTCACAAAGCAGACTAGGACTGAGAAAATTCAGGTCCACTTAAAAATCAAAGTTGATATCAACAAAAAAAAATTTAAAGAAATTCCATCACTCATACATTACATGTCCATGTATGAGCAATACATACCTTGGCTTTTCTGAGCAAGCTAACAACACTGAGACTTGTAGACGCTAATTCCCTACTAGGCATACTCTGCAGCTGTGTGATGATATAAAGCTCACAGATATGCTGGAGTCTGGATACCTGGTACATCTCAGCACAAATCAAGAGAGACATGGCTTGCAAAATACTGGCTGGTGAAAAAAACAAACACGACTTATGGTTAGCACAATCTCACTGGCAGGCTGATCAAAACCAGTTTTACAGTAACCACTTAAATTTGCTTGGAATAGACACAAAATCGAAGTGCTGCTGATGATCTTATGTTTCTGTATTGTAGTTCACAATTTTTGACAGGTGAACTCTATTTTAGCAGAAAAGTATTTAATTTTAAAAAGAGTGACCACTATTTTATCTTCCAAAAGAATGAGCTAATGCAGTATGTTGTTATTAAACTTTCCTATGTTGTCAACTGTGAGTCAAACATTGCTGGCCTCACACAAGTGAGCAGTCTTCAGTGAATTTAGGATTTGACCTTCCAATTTATATCATTTTGCTGTGTGTAGAAAAAATTGTTTTTGTAAAATTATGCAAAGTTTCATGAAAAAAACCAGACATAATATAGCAAGGTCTTTCTCTTTTTTTCAAACAGTAAAGTACAAGGGTAACATTTAAGCAGGCAGTGTTGGACAGAGAGATGAAAAATAAAAAATAAATAAAGAGCATTATTTTTTTAAAAATAATTTTCATTCATGTCCTCTAGGTGGAGTCACTTGAAATATTTAAGTACTACAACGTAAAACTTTCAAAAATTCCTTATGACAGTTTATAAAACCAAGATTACTTTAACCAAAATCTGTTTTGGGGATTTATTCCAGCTCAGTGTAGTCATCCGGTTTTGTTATAACTACACTATGAGATTAGACAGATTTAAGCTTTAAAAAAAATGAAACTTGACAAAGAGAAACAACTTTGTACTAACCTGGAGCTCTGACTAGAAAGAAATACAGTTTAAATATTGTTTTGATCTAAAAAATGGCCTCCAGGCATTGGAATGGCCTTGAAATGACTTAAGATTTAATTTTCAGTGTGTTACTTAAGTAGAAGATGAATAAAACAATTTGTAAATTCTTTCTTTACTTCACCCTGATTCCATTATAAATACATTTCATTGTAATGATACACTAATGCATCATATTTTGATAACTTACAAAAAAAATAAAAAGTTTTCCTTTTTAAAGGGGAGAGAACTTCATTTTCATGTTGTACCTCAGAATGTTACACCTAAGACAAAAAAAGTTTCTAAGAAATATCTTTAGCCGATAGAAATCCTTAACCAGAAAATACACTTTTACTAGTGAATTTAAAGTACCCGGTAATGCAAAACTCTTCCCAGTGTACTTTGTTTACAACGCTGTCGTTTTGACACAAAACGTGAAAGGATGAAGCTGTTAAGAATACGACTAGCAACTCACTAAATTTTTCTATTTTGGCATTACACCTGAATATTAATTTACAGAGAAGTATAAAACTTCAATCCTTCATTCAGTATGTTGCAGAGGCAGGGAAATGAAAAGTCACCGGTGTATCTCCTCCCCCTTACTTCCCCCCTTTACCCTTCTATGCCCAAAAAATCTGGGGGCAAAAATATGCCTGAAGTATGCAAGGAGTTAAAGGATATAAGGATATTTTTACATTTGCCTACCTGGACAACAGGAGTCAGTGTACAGATACTCTAGAAAGGAGAGGAAAGTATCTTTGGAAACCCCATAAACTGGAACCAGAAAACTATTTGCTTCTATATAACTTCCATTAAACATAGCTGCCATTACTTCACAGCGAGCCACTAGGACTGCTCTGTGGGCTGGTACAGTAGCACCTGTCAGATTTAAAACAAAAAATTATGACATTTATTACTGCAGCCTGCGCTCAACACCAGTTTTGCAAGTTAGAGAAGTACCTATCACTTCAGGCCAGATCCTCAGCTGGTATAAACTGACATCACTCCGCTGAAGTCAATGGAGATATGACAATTTACACCAGCTGGGGATTTGGACCATTGTGTCTTCTGTATGCAAGTAAAAGGCATGTGTAAGGATTTGCACTATACCCAAGTAGTTCCCAAGTTGACTTCAGGAGCATCACAGCTTTGCGAGATCTAAAGCTTTGTGAGATCACATTCAAACACACTAAGGCAAATCATCCAAGGTGGAATGCCAAGAAGTCAATGGAGTTTCAGCAAATACGAATTTAGCCCAAATTAAATGAAATAGTTCACATTTCAGTAAATCTGTGATGTTTTATAATAATATCTACATATTATCTCATATGCGGCTTTATTATTTAATATTTATATTACCTACATGGCCTCATTAGGGCAGGACCCCATTGTACTAGGTGCTGTATAGTCCTTTCTTTGAAAAGCTTATAATCAAGGCCCTGATCCTGCAATTTTTTTGAGTCTAGGAGAATTGCTGCACCTGTGCAGCACTGTACTAAAGGGAATAGGCTCCACAGAAGTGCAGCAATTCACCCATATGCAAGAAGTTATAGGATCAGGGCCTAACAAGACAGATAATGTCTGAAGGGGAGGAGTTATATAGTCAATATATAGAATTTTCACAGAAGTACATATATTAGCATTTAACTAATCTGTTTAACAATCTTCATTTCCCTCTGAACCTAACCATCACTAATTGACTGATTTCTTATAGGCATCAGTAAATGGTGTTTGCTTTCTGTTCTGTTACGATTAATCTTTGCTTATATTTTCAGATTATCTAATTAGCACACATTAAATTCATTGGTACACCTATAGCATATATTTTATATCTATACATACACATATGTAAGAGGTGCACATTAAATAAAAGATATACTACATAAAATTATATAAAAATATTTGCATACATACACACATTCAGTATTTAGGAGATTAAATAACCTTCTGTATTTTTTCAGCTGGGAGCCACTGTATTTGTATAATGTTTCAACAACACTTACTGAAGTACCAATACTTTTGTAGTCTAGGTGCCCAAATCCTGCAAACTCAATGGAACTGCTCACATACTTAATGTTAAGCACATACGTTTGCAGGATCATGACCAAAGCCCTGTCACAATATATAAAAATTTCTTAATTGCACAGTTTAACTTTTCTAACTGTCCTACTTAAAAAATCAAATCAATTACTACAACGGTGACTGGAAAATTAGAGTAAAACTTACTCTTCGTGAAAATAGTAAGTAGCCATTTTGGTAATGGATGGCATGCTCCTTTGTAAATGTCAATTTATACATCAGTGATATTTTCTTGGAAATATGTAGTGGGTGCTATTGTTTCATCAGCTTCCCACAAGGAATATCCTAAGAGCAGAACTTAGAACTAAACTGTTGTGTTGCCATGTTTTGCATTAGTGTTTTGTTTTCATTATCAAAGGTCCTTTTGTTTTTATTGCATACTGAAAACAACATCAGAAAAAAATCCCCTTTCTCCGTGCACCCATTTTTGAGGGATTAAATCTTCATATTTGACCCTGGGTGTTTCAAGTTGAAAACAAAATAATTCAACAATTGTCTAGTCTTTGGAGCGAGGTTTTTTTGCATATGGGGTAGGAGTGGACAAGTCAGGAAAATTGTTAGTGTTCAGATAAGTATTTTGTTTGATACTGATTTGCAAAGTACGCCCCAGATGTATCATTATTTTTTCCATGCAACTGTTCCTTTACTGGATAAGTGCATTTAGTTCTTGTGAAAGTTATCTAGAGTATGCCATTACTTTTGTGGTGCACACACATTCTTCAGAGGCAGTGAGAAAACAGATCCAGTGATTTGGTCCCTTTTTGGGCTTCTGCCAAGGAATACTTACAAATCTTCATAAACAATCAATCCTCCTCAGTTAACAGTTAATAGCCTTTCAAATTATCCATTCAATTTTCTTAAAAAGGTCTCCTGTTTTGTATTAAATCATAGATGGGCAAACTCTCTGGGCAGCTCCAGTAGCATGAAGGGACTAAAAAAACTGGCTGCATTCCCCCAAGCCAGGTTTCTCTCAGCAGGCATAGAGGCTGCACAAAGCAGAAAGCTGGTGATAGAGGAGCTAGCCTGTACTCTTCACAGTCACTTCAACAACAATCAAGATATTCAACATTAAATATTTTAATTAAGTCTTCACTATTAAGAGTGCTAGAAAAATTATGCAAATTCTTTTAACAGGTTATTTTTAGCAATTTAAATCTGTTCATCTTCAAGATCTGTATGACATCCCAAAGGAAAAAAAGTGCATAAAAAACAAGTTACACCTACAATAGATACAGCAACATAATACAAACAGCACACTCCTCACTATAAAGCAAAACCTTAATCCCAACATCACCATACATAACTGTTAGACACCAATCAAAGAAAGAAGTGTATGATGTATTATTTTCCATTAAAAAGTATGAGGGGTGTTATTTTCCAGGATAAGTTCAAGTTTTGTGTCCTAGTGCTGTTGTGGGGAATGTGGTGTATGTATAGTATTACTGTACCTCTTGGTGGCATATGGGATTATTCATAGCGGGGCAAAGTCTATGAAAAGTACGAATGTAACGTGTCTGGAGTGGTGTACGTTAAAATGGATACCTGAACTGGGCATTACCTTATTTTAAAGTATTTGGATGGGCTGTTTTTTTTATAAGCTAATAACTGGCTTTTAGAAAAGTTTATTTTTTCTGTGGAAATTTATTGGAAAGTTATATGGTGATCATGGATCCTATGCACACCTACCACAACACATGGTGTACCTTGTCTGTGCACTAATGCCCCAAAAGCAACTATGTGGGTGAAACCAGACAATCACTGTACTCTCAAACTAACTCACACAGAAAAATTATAAAAGACAAACACTGTTTCGCACCATATCACGTCTCACAAAAGCATCACTCCATATATGACCTCTCAGTCCTCTTCCTTAAAGGAAACCTGCACAACACCTTCAAAAGACAAGCTTTGGAGCTTAAATTCATAACTTGGCTACACTCTAAAAACCATGGCCTTAATAAAGACACTGGATTTATGGTTTATTATAACAATCTGTAATATGCTACTTCCTCTTTTTTGTTCTATGACTATATGGTTGTTAATGGGCCATTTCCCCTTGAATGGTCCCTGTGACAGGGTGCTGACCAGGAATTGCTGAGCCAGCCCTCTGTCACTCCAGCTCCAATTAAGGGAGGTGAATTGGAGCGGATTCGAGGAACCTGAGCCTGATTGGCAGAGGTGGAACAGCTGCCAGGCTGATTAGCCTGAGGCTATATACAGGCTCAGAGGGAGGAAGGGAGGGGAGTGGGAAGCCAGAGAGCGGAAGGAGAGGGGTAGCTATTCCCCCCTGGCTGCAAGAAAGAAAAGCCCTTCAGGCTGGAACCCCCAGCGATATACGGTGAGAGGCGGTGGGTTTACGTTGTGTAAATAAACTGCACCAGTGACTGCTGAGTCAGAACGTCTCCGAGTGATTTTTGAAGCAAAGCAGAGACAGGACCAAGGGGGGCCCTGCTATAGTCCCTTATATTATGTGCTAACTGTTTATGCTAACCAATCTTTTCCACCTGTGATGTAGCACTGTTGCTCCCAGGATATTAGAGATACAAGGTGGGTGAGATAATATATTTTACTGGACCAACTTCTGTTGGTGAGAGAGACAAGCTTTCAAGCTTACACAGAGCTCTTCAGGTCTGGGAAACTTACTCAGTGTCAGAGCTAAATACTAGATGAGATTGCTGTGCCACTGTAGCGTTTTAAATGTAGGCAAGCCCTGAGTACCTTTTCCAGAGCTGAAGAAGAGCTTGAAAGCTTGTCTATTTCACCAACAGCAGCTGGTTCAATAAAAGATAATTACCTCACCCACCTTTGTCTCACTAATATCCTGGAACCAACATGGCTATACCATCACCACAAACTAAAATCAAGAAGGAATTTTCCTTTCATAATCTCTTTCTGGAAAGAGCTTCAGAAGATATTACTCGGCCTCTAAAATATTTAAGGTTCATTAAGATAGCAGGGAATTTCTTAATTGGTTGTGGGGCTATCCGCGCAGATGAGAGTCATTAACATGAGCTTTCCTTGTCAAGAGTATGTCGGTACAAGTGTTCTGAAAAATGAAACAACAAAAGATACTAAAGAAATCAATATTTAGTATTTAATACAAACCCTTCTAATCAGCCACAGAGAAATCAATTGGGGGGGAAAGGAAATTCTCCACTTGAGGGGTTTTTCCCTCCCGTGAGAACCACCAGGGAGTTAGGGAGCAATATCCATTTTCAGTATTCTTCTGGACATGACATTCTTCAGTCTGCCAGGGTTAGAGCAGGTCAACACTACAGCTTTGGACCTCTGGCTTTGCCATTGAATCTCTGGGTGACCTTAGGCAATCCAACTAACCTCTGCAAGGCTGTTGTGAAGCTTAACATATATTTGTACAGTATTTTAAGATCCTTGGAGGCAGGCAACTCTACAAGTCTGTAATGTTTTTAAGTAAACTGAATACCTTAGTCTTATTAAGAGCAAAACCCAGCATCTGCTCCTGAAGTGCCAGACAAATACACTTGGCTGATTAAATAAGGACTCCCCAGGCAAAGAAATCTGAAATGGGAGCCGCAGCAGTGACTCGCTAGGGGGATAGGAAGGGGTTTCAACAGTATGTCTATACTGCACACAAGACTCTGGGATGACGTTTGAGCCCAACCCCTCCTTCTGTCCACTCACAAATCAGTCTCACTCAGATCAACAAGCACTCAGGACTTGAGTCCTAGGACCTTGCTAGGGTTGTCCTAGCTAAACCTGCCGTACCACTGAAGGAAGATTTATCCCTTCAAGGGCGAGGGCAGGAATAAGCTCTGCTTTCTCTAGTTCACTGTCCTCTCTGGGGTATGAGTGAGGGGAGCAGGATAAATAACACAGGATCAAAAAAATTTTAACTATAATCCCCCTTAAAAGGTCTTAAAAACTTCAAAAATGAAGGAAATTCATTGGAAATGTCAAAATCCCCTGAGGAAAAATCACAGTGGATAGTTTCCTGAAGATTAATTTTATGTCAGGATAGATGTCCCACTCTGATCGCATCCAAGTTGCAGTATTTATAACCGGTCTTGATGAGTGAATGGGGCACTGGCTTTGAACACAGGAGACCTAGAGTCAATCCCTGTCTCTGCCGCTGGTTTTCTGGATGACCTTAGGCAAGTCACTTCTTCAACCCCCCAAACCTCAGTTTCCCCATCTGTAAAATGGGATGACGATATTGGCCTCCATTTTAAAGTGCTTCGAGATCTATGGATAAAAAGTGCTAGATAAAAGCTAAGTACTTTTACTGGTGGTGTTATGATACAAATGGAGGGAGGGAGCACAGGCAATATGCTCCTACCCAACCCATACACCGCCCCCGGCCAAACACACACATTTGTTTGGCTGGCTATTAGCCTGCCTGGAGCCCTGAACTGAACAAACTGCATTTTTTGAATGAGAAAAACAATCTACAAAAATGAGGTTTTGAAAGGTGACTGCCCATTTCTCAGAAGACTTATCTAAATAGGAGATAAGAGGGGAGACCTATGTCTGTTGTCAGGGAAGCAGATGGTGTCTGAATGGAAGGGTCTGCCTGTGTCGTAAATGTAAAGGGAAGGGTAACCACCTATCTGTATACAGTGCTATAAAATCCCTCCTGGCCAGAGGCAAAATCCTTTCACCTGTAAAGGGTTAAGAAACTACAGTGACCTTGCTGGCACCTGATCCAAAATGGCCAATGAGGGGACAAGATTCTTTCAAATCTGGAGGGGGGGACAAAGGATTTTGTCTGTCTGTGTGATACCTTTGCTGGGAACAGATCAAGGATGCAAGCCTTCCAGCTCTTCTAAAGTTAGTAAGTAATGCATTAGATTTTCTTTTGTTTTTTGGCTTGTGAAATTCGCTGTGCTGGAGGGAATGTGTATTCCTGTTTTTGTGTCTTTTTGTAACTTCAGGTTTTGCCTAGAGGGATTCTCTATGTTTTGAATCTGGTTACCCTGTAAAATATTTACCATCCTGATTTTACAGAGGTGATTTTTACCTTTTCTTTAACTAAAACTCTTCTTTTAAGAACTGGATTGATTTTTCATTGTTCTTAAGATCCAAGGGTTTGGGTCTGTGTTCACCTGTACAAATTGGTGAGGATTTTTATCAAGCCTTCTCCAGGAAAGGGGGTGTAGGGCTTGGGGGGATATTTTTGGGGAAGATGTCTCCAAGCGGTCTCTTTCCCTGTTCTTTGTTTAAATCACTTTGTGGTGGCAGTGTACCAGGTTTTTAACCTAAGCTGGTTCCCAAGGCAAGAAAGAAATCTGTGCCTTGGGGAATTTTTAACCTAAGCTGGTAAGAATAAGCTTAGGGGGTCTTTCATGCAGGTCCCCACATCTGTACCCTAGAGTTCAGAGTGGGGAAGGAACCTTGACAACCTGCCACAAGCATCTTCCCCCCATCCCAGGGAGTTGAGGGGGAAGAAGATCACCAGAGTTTCTTTTCTTCTTTCCTTTTCCACGTGATGGCTGCGAGCACTGATGCATTCCTCGCTGAGTGCAGGTGCTGTCAGCAGCATCCCAGAAGCGGCACTTAGCCAAACTGGGAATCAGATCTCAAAGCCTTCCAGCTCTGTTCTAAATTTAGAGCTACGATGCTTGTGCACATTCTAAATTTAGCAAAAGGTGTTCTTTCATCTCCAGCTAACTTGGCTGCTTCTACTGCAACTGCTCGTGCTGTTTTCTCTAAGTAGCTTCGTCACAAACTTTTCAGCTCATGAGGCAGCAAGTTACACTTTTTCCAGCTTCCTACTTTATGTCTTCCCATTTACTGTATAGCTTTGCCTGCAGTAAAAAGAGCTAACCCTTGGGAGCCCATATGGGCTGGGAAGCATGATCTGATTAAGCATATTTCTGGGCAGACATATAAGCTGTTGGTAGCTCATAATGTTTTTATTACAAAGCTTTTATTCTGAGTTACCCAGGAAAGAATTTTCTGTAGTATCTGGCTGGTGAATCTTGCCCATATGCTCAGGGTTTAGCTGATCGCCATATTTGGGGTCGGGAAGGAATTTTCCTCCAGGGCAGATTGGAAGGGGCCCTGGAGGTTTTTTGCCTTCCTCTGTAGCATGGGGTACAGGTCACTTGCTGGAGGATTCTCTGCTCCTTGAAGTCTTTAAACCACAATTTGAGGACTTCAATAGCTCAGACATAGGTGAGGTTTTTCAGGAGTGGATGGGTGAGATTCTGTGGCCTGCATTGTGCAGGGGGTCAGACTAGATGATCATAATGGTCCCTTCTGACCTTAGTATCTATGAATCTATGAAAAAACAAGGAAAAACTGAGACACTGTACCTTGTATTTGGAAGATGACATCAGCTAAGACATGTGTATTAAAAAAAAGCTTGAGAGAAGTATCAGATAACTGCAAGGGTCTTGCTGTCTGATGAGATCTGCAATTCTTGGCACTATTCACCTGCAAGACAAAGATACTGACATGTATAATTGCCTCCTAGTTGTACATGGGTGTTGCATATTGTTTCTACCATGAAATGCAATGATTCTCATCTTTCCTCCTAATTCCTTTTTCCATCACTGTTGACAACTCCACTATCCTCCCCATCTCTCAAATTTATAATCTTGAAGATCCCTAGCACCTTTTTTGTTCTCCGCCCACATGCAAAAATCTTGACAAAACCTACTGCTTCTGCTGTAACATTTCTAAAATCTGCCTCTCTCTCTACAACCCCCATTATCACAACCTGTTTCATACCACTGTTCTTTCTCTCATTTAGACCATTGTAAACTCTTCCACTCCAGTCATTTCATCTCTCACCTTTTCAACATAAAAAGCTATAAAAATCTTTTTGCCATTTCAGTCATGTCTTTACCCTTCTCAAGACCCTTCACTGGTTCCTTGTCTCTTCCTTTGAAAAGCTGTAATTTCTCATCCTCATTGTTAAAGCTCCCATTTCTACATCTCATGTCAGCTTGTGGTTAGACCATTCCTCATGTCATTATTCCCGTTGTCTCCTGCTCCCACTTATACCTTTGTGTTTTTTTTCCCAGTACACTACAGTCTACATCTGCAACGATACCCCTCTCCTGCAAACCAAAGGCTTTTCTACACTTACAGCATTGCAGTGGCACAACTGCAGCAGCGCTGCTGTAACATTTAGTGAAGACACTACCTACGCTGACAGGAGAGCGTCTCCCATCGGCATAGGTACTTCACCTCCCTGAGAGGCAGCAGCTATGTCGATGGGAGAAACTCTCCCATCAATATAGCACTGTCTACACTGGGAGTTAGGTCAGATAACTGTATCGCTCAGGGGTGTGGATTTTCCACACCTGAGTGACATAGTTATACTGACCTAAGTTGGTAGTGTAAAAGTTCTATATAAGTAATTAAGAAGGGAAACCAAATTAAAAATAATAGTAATTAAAATCGTACTGCTAATTTTCCTGAATGAAGTTTAAACAGGGCTCAACTGATATTTAAAATCTGATCTAATTTATGTATTTATGTTTATTTTTACAAGAAAACCTGACTATATATCCAGAGCAGCTAGAGGGGCCAGAGGGAGTACCAATTTAAAAGATTCTCTTTTCAGTCGGAGTCTTCTCTCTCTTTCCATGCCCCTTCCATCTGCCAGTCAGGGAAGCAAGAGAAATAAAAGGTCCATTTAAGACAGGGATAGGCAAAATGCAGCCAGCCAGCCATTTTACTCCAGCCCTCAAGCTCCCACTGGGGCGCGGGATCTGGGGCTTGCCCTGCTCCAGCCGGGGAGCAGGGTCGGGGGCCACTCCACGCGGCTCCCAGAAGCAGCGGCATGGCCTCGCTCCAGCTCCTACGCATAAGGGCAGCCAGGGGGCTCCAATCTTCATGCTATCCCTGCAGCTCCCATTGGCCAGGAACTGTGGCCAACGGCACCTGTGGACGGGTCAGCATGCAGAGATGCCTAGCCATGGAGCTTTATAAAGAAGGACTCCCTTTCAAGCACCCTCCACCTGTCAGTTGCACTGTTGTCAACTCTTGCAATTTTATTGTGAGTCTCAGTATATTTAGTGCTTTTCTTAAAGCCCCAAATATGAAATCAAGAGCTTGTGAGAGCTTCAACTTTCATTTTTAAAAAAGTATGTGTCTAGCTCTCATGACTGGGAAGTAAAGCTTGACAGTGCTAAGCAAGTGCACACTTAAGGTTCAAAAACCAAAAGGCAAATAAAAATCATGAGATTTTTTTTGTCCCCGTCAAAAAATACATACTGGATTATTTTTAAACCAATTTCATAAATATTTGGGTTTGGCTCATAATCTTTGAATGCTTGGGGTTGCAATTTTGCCATTCAGAGAGCAGCAACTTCTATTCACAAAAGTTAACTGACTTGTTGATTCACATTTTGTCTTGGGGCAGGGGGAGGTTTAACACACACAATTTAGGGTACAACCCACTTCCCATTTAAGTCAATAAAAAAAACCTTTGTATAAGGTTTGCAGTAGCAGGGAGGAGGTAAATTTATTTAAGAGTTGTTTAAAATTAGACCACTATGTATTTTTGACTAATACACTTATTTTCATGTGAACTACATTTCCCTGTGAAGTAACTCTGGTTCAAATATAAATTATTAGTAGACAGATATTTACTTCACAACACTCACTTAAAGAAACCACCTCCTGATTTCTGTTAGAGAGGCAGAACTTCTGGCAGATACACATAATGGCAGAGCTTTCCTGGGGCAGCCTCTATTACATCTGAATTACTGTTAATACTGGTGGGCAGACTGTGATGGAGAAAGTATTATTTATCATTTTAAGCAACCTACTGTTATGTAGACTTCACTGATCAAATACTGTACTTTGGAAGTGCACCTATGTTATTATACAATGGGGGGAGAGGTAACATCTTTTTATTGGACCAACTTCTGAGCGTCTCTCTCACCAACAGAAGTTGGTCCAACAAAAGATGTTACCTCACCCACCTCGTTTCTCTAATATCCTGGGATCAACATGGCTACAAAATACATTTAAGTTGTTATATTTATTTTTTAAAAACAGCTGACAGACAAGATTCTGCAAACCACAATACTTGTACAACAAAGATCATTACGAAAAGTTATTTTTCATGAGTCCAGCTATTCTACGCTAAAAGCGATTACAAAAGAAAATAGTGGCAATTGACCTTTCCTGGAGTTTTCAGGATACATTTAACTTTCTCAAGTATGAGCTCAACTTCTCCTGGGTCTTTCAACTTCTTTTTTATATCTTCTTCCAACAATTCCCATTGGAAAGCACCTATGACAAAACCAAGTTACATCCTTAAGGCATGGAATAGCTTTTTGGTCCATATTATTACGTATAAATTAATGTGCATGGGACTTCATGGACAGATAAAAGAATGCCTATGCCCAACAATTCAGTTTTATAGAAAAAAGTATTTCACAGCACTTTTGTTACTTAGATTTTTCAGCAAGTTTGTGCCCTAGAAAGCACAAATTATAACTCTGCAATGGTCAACCCTATGCACTGATGTAATGTTGACTTTATCAGGATTTTGCAAGATAAGGCCAGCATATCTTGATTTAGAGTCTCAAAGAAGTCTAGGCAATTTAGATATGTGCATATCATAGAAAAAAGTCTAAATCCCCTCGACTGCTTCAAAAATATCAAGACGAACTTAACTCAAGGTCCTGTATAAACTTTGTATGGACAATTTCAGAAAAGATTCTGTTTAAGCACAGAATCAGGCATTTAACTATGTTAATTTCTCCTAATATATCAGTTATTTGACATTTTGAATGATGCCTACATTGCTGAAGCTTAAAGGATCAGCTACTTAAAGCAATTTACACACGAGGCAGAACAGGGAAGGGGGAGGACATTTCTACCAAAATCAGTTTATTTAGATTTTTGTTTTCTGTGTTTTCCCTGTTATGTTTTCTAGTCCCAAGGTTCTCAAACTACTGTCCTTGGGCCATTAGCGGCCTGCAAAGAGCTGGCTGATAACATAGTGTTGGCTCCTTCCTATTACAATAAAAGGACTAGAAACTACATTATTTTTCTAATATTACTTTTCCATGTAAGCAATTGCTGTAGTTTCCACAGAAATGCTGTTAAATTTGAGAGGAGGTAAGCTTCACAAATGTGAATGGGACACAACTTTTCTATTAAAATCTGTTCTAAAATTTTGAAAACTCTATATAGGGTTTTATACTATGCTCACCTCCCTAGTATTTATGCTCTCAACAGTATAAAATAAGTTTGTTCTTTGGCATATGGCGCTCTCTTCCTTAAAATCCTAGGATACTGTGAAGAAATTAGATTTTATTTTTATAACACTTTCTAAAATAAAAGCTATCTATTGTGGAAGATACTGTGTTTCAAGATCTTCCTTTACAAACCAACTTCTTCTCCTTCGGATTCTGGATTGAATTTATATTTGATATCTCTAATTGCCAAGGAAACTGCAGCAACATCTAATGTTAAAATCAAAAGTTTCCTGCAAGATCAAGTAGAAAAAGCTAGACTGAGAGGAAGAAAGCCATTACTGAAACACACATAAGTATCAAAAAATTCAAATTAAAAAAACAAGTGAAATCTTCCCTAGTGAAAGCCTAGTATCTACAGATCAAGAACTGTACGCTAAAGTATCCATAAATATCCTACCCGATCAAAATTTGGAAACTATTCTGAAAGAGAAAAAAGATCACATATCCACAAATTTCTCGGGTCTTGATAATTCTTACATAGGTTCCAGTTGTTCAGTAGCTGCTCTCCTAGAAATTTATAATACTTGCTTATATGAGAGAAAAATCCCACCTTTCCAAAAACTGCCAAAATGCAAGATTAAGCATTCCACAGATCAGTGGTCCCCAACCTTTCTGTGGGAATAGCATATTCGTATTTCCCACAGACTGTGGCGGGCAGCGGAAAGAAGACTCGCCAGTGGCATTTCGGTGGGGGGTTCTCAGGTGGCCGCGCTCGGCGGCAGCATTTTGGCGGCATGGTGTCCTGCGGGCGCACACAACTGCCCCGGCGGGCGCCACTGCGCCCGCAGGCACAGCATTGGGGATCCCTGCCGTAGATATTCTGTTTTCAGAAGAGAACTCTATGACTCCATCCAGCCCAATCACCATAAAGGGCAACTGATCCCTCAGAAAGGATACTGAAAAACTTGCTGAATATGAGAGTCCACTAGCATCCGACTGTGAGAGCTGTTGCTTTATAACATACGTGCTCCCAGCTGTCATCTGAAGAAAAAAAGTTTAACATGTAGTTATAGTCCAAAAAGTGACTATGTAAAAATGGCACCTTCTAACATCTTCAAAAAAATCTGCTTCCTGTGGGTATTGTGGGTCAAAGTTATATGTTAGGCTCTCCACAGATAGCAGTTCTACTCTGGAGAAAGAAAGTAAAAGATCATGGACTTCAAAGATATGGAGCTAGAAAGAACATTATTACTGTGACTGTTCTGCTTCTTTCATGGGTCTGGAAGAAATAAGCCTATTTATGAATAAAATGAAGAATGAAAAATGCATAAATGAATATACAGGAGAAAATAAACTTAAAACTAATTGAAACCTTTACTGCTACTAAGAAAAGTAGGTGTAAACAGAAAACACTAACTTCCAAAAAGATAGGTGTTCCCAGTGTTGCTCATCCCTGCTACAGGAAAGAAACTTTCAAGATTCTAAAGGAGCAAAGAAAACCTTTCTGGGTTATCTGCTTTATGATTGACAATTTTAGCTGTCTCCAAAGAGAGAAACCATCCTATAGTGGAATACTGGCTGACAGGATACCAAAAAGGGATTGCTGTTGCTAAGGGCCTTAGATGCTGTGGTTTTCTGGTGTATAGGCATTACTGCCACAGGCAAAGAAACCAGACTTATTTTACTAAAAATCTGAACCCAAATACACACAAAGGTACACTAAACAAAAAGTATTTACTAAGCAATTGTATTTAAGGTATTTGGTAAACAGATGAACAGAACAGCATTACCTGATAATTTGATGTTTGGTTTCTATACTGATTATAAAGAGCCACAAGCATCTCTGACTATGAAGAATTTTAAAGTGGCAAATTCTGTGAATATTCATGCGTTCTTCACTGTTTGTACATTTTATCATTAAGAGAGGAAGGATGGCTCAATGGTTGAAGTGCTGGCCTGGGACATGGGAGATCTGAGTTCAATTCCATCTCCACTATGTAATTCCTGTGTGACCTTGGGCAAGTCACTTGGTCTCTGTGCCTCAGTTTCCCATTTGTCAAGTGATCGAGGAGATGGTGCTGCCAGGATAAAAAGTGCCTATGGAAACATGATACCCCTATGACCAAGTCAGTCAGAGGGTGGACACACACACACAATTATACACCTTTGAAAATTTCAGAAGCTCATTTTTAAGTCACTGTATCCCCAGAAAGTGCATCTGAATTACATGTACGTGATTTTTAAAGACAATTATCCAACTGAGGGATTATCTATATTTTCAAAAGACTAAACTGCAATTGCTAAAATTTTTGGTAGTAAATGTGAAAAACAAACATTTTTAAAGTAATCTGTAGAACTTCCATCTGAACATTACCAAATGGTTATAAGGTTAGCGAAGAGAGAGTCTCTTTCAGCAATAGGTAGCATAGTCCATCATTTAAAAAACTCTCTCCTCTTTCGGAGACCCTTATTCTATTCACAACTGCCCTTAATGGGGGTAGGATCCAGCCCAAACTGCACAGTAAATATCTTTATTTAGCAATAATGTATACTTAACTGGTATCATATGGTATCATTTGAAGAAACAAGGTAAAAAACATGGTTTAATATTTTGTCTGAATAAACTTCAAACATCAATGCTTTGTTTCAATGACCATTCGGGTTGGGGGACTCAACTATAGATGAGAGGCACATAGTCTGAAGGGGTAAGGGAGATGAAAAGGTGGCATACAGCTCATATTCATGTCCTTTTGTGATGCTAGGCCCCACATTGTGCAGGCCAGTCACCATGCATAAGTTAGAGCAAACCTCAGTGTGCTCTCGCATTCACCCACTGTAGTCAAACCCAAGGGGCTGAAACAGCAGCTAGGCATTGATGCAGTATGGAATACCCTGATCTCACCCCCATCTGCTAGTCGTGCCACTATACCAGCAGTGGTGGGAGAGAGGGAAAGTCTATTTCAACCTTATGAATAGAATCCATTGATAGTGGGGCACAAAGCATGTACACTGTATCTCAAAAACTAGACTTCTATTCTTCCTGACTCCATATTTTCCTTAAAAATCCTCTAAATGGGAAGACCCAAGTCTGATAGGCACCATATTCTGCACTGACTTACACCATTTGTGATCTCAATGAGATCGCAAGCTATAACTTAGGGAAGAATTTGATCTATGCAAATATAAATTGCTTGTGTGTTTTGGCTAATATACATGAAGTTAAAATTAAGACAGAGCACCAGCATAGGCCAACAAACTGTATTTACAAGCCAAAGCACAAAGGATTACTGCACTAGTCTTTCTTCTCTGAAGATCTAAATTTAAACCCTGATTTATAACAGAAATTAAATTAATCGGTCACTATTGGTGCACATCAGAAAAACTCCACAGTATGAAAGGATTGGCAGACTGATCAAGAAAAGCCTAGGGCTAGAATAAAAGGGATATTATTAGTAGTCACAAATGAGGTATTGTTGACAGAGGCTCTCAGTGCATGCCCATATGGTATTTAAACAAACATTATAAATTCTTCACTTTGGTAAGTACTAAAGGGGAGTTAGCTGTTCAATTCCTTTGTGTCTTTGAAAATCCCCCCGCATCTCCAAGTCAGTCACCATTAAAAGAGGCTGAATTTACAGCATTATCAAGGGCTTGAGTAACAAACTGTGAGGAATCTTCTTCTCCAAGATAGTGTTTTGTCCTCTGCATCTAATGCAGAACAACATTACGGAATGAGGAAGCAATAGCACACAACAAGGTGTGCATTCAGCCAATATGCACAGATCTTCAGTGTTTGTATACTGGGTAAAGCACACACCCTTGAGCATATTACTAAGCTTATAAAATGGTTTATAAGAAGTTTAACAATTTAAATATAATACTTATACTATTAAATTTTATTTGTTTTAATAAGTATTATATTTAAAGTAAGGAAAATTACTTATTTATTCTATGTAGACTGATTTAAAAAAACAACAAAAAAACGAAAAAAAAAACAAAAAACAGAAAAAGGTTCCAAAACAGTGTATTAAAAACATTTGGCATAGATTTCAAATACATTTCTTTTTGCGATTTTGTAAACTACCTACCTATACTCACTTTTCTCCTTACCCTCCTTCTCTTTTCCTTTCCTTCTTCTTGCCCTATTTCTCCCTACCTTTACAACCACCCCCCTTCCTTCATCTTTATTTCCTCAATCCTCTGCCTACTTCAAAAAAAATAACCCCCTCATCAGTCCAGAGATGCTGAAGAGATGAGCATTTTCAGCGAAGCTGCCACCACTAGTTGAACAGAAAGGAAGGAGCAAAGATCCACAGAGAAGCAGTTCACTCAAGTGCTGCTTCTCCTAGTAAGGACTGCTCCAGCCACTCAGCTAAAATACATGGGACCAGCAGAGGTTTTCCTTCTGAAGCCCTACTTAAGCTGCTTAACCTACTTAACTGGGAATTGGTCCTGCTTCGAGCAGGGGGTTGGACTAGATGACCTTCTGGGGTCCCTTCCAACCCTTATATTCTATGATTCTATGCTACCATTACTCAGTGGATTAATGCCAGTATCATCCTCCTCTGAAGTTCTGGAGCAGTAGAAGCGGAAAGGAAATGAAGTGAAACAAAAGAAAAAGATAAGGAGAAAGAAATGAGAATTAAGAATTTCAGAAAATCATTAAAAGGATATTTTAAACATTTCCTATATGAATATTATTTGATAAGTCTGCATGTAGCATAGTGATCTAGTTGGTGAAGTTGCTTTATAGACCTCATGTGTGTTCAGTGGGAGATAATTAGTACAGAAAATCACATAGGATGCTCATCTCCTAATTTCCACTTTAAATTTTGTTTCAAATTATTGACCAGCATATAAATAGTGGGAATATACACATGTATATAAGGCAGTACTGAACTGCCAAGTAGCAGCACTAAGTCCTGCCAGGGAAATCTATGATTCTAAATCCAACCCCACTGCAGCGATAGATAAGCCATGAGAATCAGGAAGCATGCAGAGCTCCTCAGAGGTTAAATGCCATTACTGGAGGGCTCAGCTCTCTACTTCCTCCAATGCAAGCCTCATATAAGATCACTCCTCCAAAGGTTGGCATGAGACTTCGGCCAAAAAACAAAAAATCAGCTTACACCCAATATGGTACACAAACTGAAGGCTCTTTCAGCCAACCAGATAATTTACATCCAGATTATTTTTACAAAAAAGTTTGCTAATGCTCCATGCTGTTTTACTGAAGGCATAAGATTGGAATCAGTCTTGGAGGAATTATAGTAAAATATTCCTGGCCCTTTCCAAAGGCTATGGACTGCCATTCTAAGGGAACAGTCCTTTAAATGCTTTCAACAACCATCATTCTGGAGATAAACTCAGCTTCCTTACATATAACATCTTTAACAATATATAGGTACACATTTCTAATTACTGTGAATGTAATGATGCATTATTTAGAGAACTACTACTTCCTCCCAAAAATATCTTATAGTTTTCATTAGTGGGGATGTCATATGTAATGCAACTAGAAGTCGTATCAGTACAAAGTAATAGGCTATTCAAACAAAAAAGAGTTGCTAGATGATTCAGTGTTCTTTAATACTTTACACTTTTTGTGTCTTTTAACTGGATCTCACAAAGTGCTTTATAAAGCAGAAAAATATAATTAGCACCATTTTAACAGATAGGGAAATGGAGGTTAAGTGACTTGCCCAAGGTTACAAAATGAAAATGGCAGAAATGAAAACAGAACACTGATCACATCACTCCCAGTCCTCTGCTTCAACAAACCAGATAATGTTGCTCCCCATTCTCTTTAACATACTAGTGTACACAATGTTTTTAACCATTTTTAACAGTTTTATTTTGTTCTGAAATTTATCTCACTGAAAAGCTGTTTTTAGCAGGGTGATGTTTGGCATTACATTCATTTTTACCTGTTACTTATGGAAAATTTATCATCATTTTTAGAATTTTGGAGGAAATTTTTTTCCACTTTAGAAGCTTCTGGTTTACTAGATTCAGTGACTTTGGAACTGAATGTATAGTGCTAAAAGCAATAATTTTAAGGTTAAGCTCCATTTCCATGTAGAAGTTCTTCGAAATAATGGGTTATAGAGATGGACTTTTTAATCAAATTGATTTAATCCTAATAGAGGAATATATTTTGGTAGGGTAATATACACACTTCATAGCAATATGTTTGCTCTCTAAAAAGATAGTAAACACTGGAACCATTCTGACAGGATACCTGAATAAATGAAGTGCAGAATGTCTGACAAACAAAAACAGAAGAAAGAGTCTTTAACAATGACTCTAACTGGTGGGCCGCATGGTGAACCTTGGTTAGAAACTGGAAACACAGCCTCACTGTTCACTGCAAACAGAGTCTGTGCAGTCCTTATGATAGAGGAATCCTGAATATCAGCTGGACTCTTCACATTGAAAAGTAACATGAAGACATGGCTTACAGAGCACAAAACAATCTTGTGTGCTTCTACTACTTCCTTTAAATCTTCTGAGTAAAATATCACGTCCACACACTGGCAGCAGATCAGCAAGTTATGTAAATCGGAATTATAATGCGAGGCTTCACCTTTTAAGATTGGCATTTTTTCTATAAAAGTGAGATATTAAAAATAATAATGAATGAACTGTTTTGTAACTCTAAACTCCTATTAGTTGCTATGCAAACAAAAGCATCTTTATTCTCAGAAACTGGATCAAATGAGGACATAAAAGGGTATTTTATTAATTACCCTCAATAAAAATTTGCTCTTTAAAAACTACACATCACCTTCACCATTAGAACAAATCCAGTCTTTCATTCACCTTGAGTGAGGTTAGTAGAATAATTAACATTAGAACTGTTTAGTAAAAATGTTTCCACCATTTTATAAATCTTCCAAAAAAATTTTAAAAAATTTATAATTATAGACATGTCTAATCTTTCATGTCATCTCACATGGTTTTTACATAAAAAGGGACTTAATAAAAAACTATAAATAAGTGTATACTTTACCAATATTATGGTTTAGTAAAACAATCTTTCTGAACTCAGAACTTCAACAACTCAATTTTTTGCATACCCACAAGATAAATGCAGTCTCAACACCTTACACTCTGCAGAAATCAGAGAGGTTAGAGACAGAGCCTGAAAGACTCACAGCAAGAGTTAACTGTCCGTAAAAAATGTTTCAGTGCAAAATTATTTATAGAACAACTCCATTAAACGTACTAGGCCAAATCCTTCCTTCCCTTACACCCACGCAACCCCTCTGACTTCATAGACGGAGCTCAGATCGATTACAAGTACTACTCTGATTTCAATCTCAGAACTGAGTGTAAAATGATTTAGGAGATTGTATAATTATGAGAAGTTTTATAAGAGTATATATTTTGCAAAGGTAATTTCTAATATGTTTATTATCTTAACTTAAGGTAACTTCATTTTTGAAAGGTAAGAGGTGTGGTCTGGTCCTCTTCTCATTTAAATCCATGGGAATGTTGCCATTGACTTGAACTAGGGAGAGGACTGGGCTCCAGATCCTAGGCTAAGGTCCAATATTTGGCATTTTTTAGAAAAAGTTATATTATACAGAGTTAACACGAAACACCTTCAAGTTGTTATACCATTGGTCTGACCCAGGGTGGCCATTCTTATGCACTGAAATTTGATCAAAAGAACTATAAAAACTAATATGATGTTAAACTGCTGAAACATAAAATAAAAAAGACAAACTACCTTTTAGCCTTTCACGCCTTCTTCCTAACATCTCCCTTTACTTTCTTGTGTTACTACTATCCTCTCTTATCTCCTCTTCACGTGCAACTTGTATAAACTCAGGCTTCATCCATAATTTCACTAAATGTTCCACATTCTGAGTTCACTTCTATGAGCACAACCCCAGATTTTTTTTATAAAACATACTACGAATTTTAAGTTTGAGTAGTTTTTTAAGTGACCACCCATCACATATCTTACATATACATATAGTTTTATAAAATCCTCAAGATTCACAAAGTCTTCCCTAAATGATTAAGTAATCCATTCTGAGATAAAAATCACAGATCACAGTAGTTGCTATTAATGGGTAATTCATTAAACATGTTTTTAAATAATCTGATCAGTATTACACTGAAAAAAACTAAATTAACACTATAATCACCTGGCTGTTCAAGCTGAGGCGGTTTAACTCCATGGCACTTGTGGCTTTTTTTTCTTTTCTTCATTTTTTCAGAGGACTTCTGATTCAAGCTTTGGATCATAAAATACTCCAACTAAAACATGAGATGCATTTTTTAAAACTACAAATAAAGTTAAAGTTAAACATCAACATCCTCACTTTTCCCAGTTTGTATGCAGAACTGACACTGATTCCAATGTGAGTAGCTGTGCAATGTTGACTGAGTACTAAAATTTTACATAAGTAATCAAGTAAAGTGAATTGTGATAAAGAACTGTAGTTTGGATTAACTTAATTAAAAAGACTATCAATTCAAAAGTTAGTCGTTTGTTCTCTGGGGCAATGAAAGCAGAAACCACAGCTGTGCTACCAGAAAAGAATTCAATACATCAACCGTAACAGGTACTGCTATAGGATTTGGTGGGAGGAAGAGCGGGGATTGATAGGTAAAAATGGGTAATCAGATGCAAGTCCCAGAAATATGGTAAATAGTATAAGGGCTTTGTTACTAAGACCTATCCAGCAACACTTTATAACATCAAACTTATTAGCTGCTTTATTATACAAATAAAGTCAAAATATAAAGAATATATTTAAGAGCTTAGTTTTCTAAAAGCAGAAGATAAAAATGTAATCACTGTAACAGGAATGGTACATATAGTAAAATTATCCATTTTTGCAAAAGTCTTAAGATAATGTAAAGATGATAAAGTGTAAATATAGAACTAAGGGATCATAGAACAGAAGGAAAAGTGGCAGTAGTGAAAGGTAATTACTTACAAATGAGTAGGGTAAGGCAGTTATACACGATTACTGAATCTTATATGGTTTGTTGCCCCACAGGTAGTAGGGAGATATCATTTCAAGACTGGACAAGTTTTGGTCAGGGGCTTGGAATAAGAAAAAAGTTTCCTCCCATGTTGGAACCAATGACACAGACAAAGGTAGACTAGAGGTCATGCAAATGAGATGCAAATTATGAGAAAGTAAGTGAAACCCAGACCCTCATTAAGTCTCAGAAATACTAACTTCATCCTAATTGTGGTACAGTTTAGAAATCTGAATAATCTAGTTGGCAATCAAATGACAGAACTATGCCAGAGTCAAGTTTGGGGTGTAAGTTCTCTCAATCAGTAGATGTACCACACACAGCCTTAAAGGGAAAGGGAGCAATTCCATCACTTCTGAACTACCCCTATAATACAATACATAGGAAAACACAGAGAGGAAAAATAAACAACCTTCTTTGGGTCTTAACTATCAGAAAGAAATGGAGACTTTTTCTAGATGTTTTAAGCACTTGGAAGAAGTACTCCAAATTGAAGAACTAGAAAAACATGAACATAGATGGAAACACAACATTGGCTACATTTTGAAGTAAACCCTAATAGTGTGAAAGACACTGATGCCAAAAACTTTGACACCATTGGATAAACAATGCAATAATGGCATTGGCGTAAATACTGAAGTATTTCAAAGTAAATCAAGAGCACTGAAAACAGGAACGTAGGTATTGGCATCATTAACCCAGCACACTAACAGCTCTGAAAGCTCAAAGCTGGCTCTAGATCAGTGTTTCAGTCAGCAATTAAATGTGGTGCATGTGTCACTGACAAAGCTAAAGCTATGTAATGAAACGTGTTCTACAGGCTATACAAGCTTAACTGTAGCTCAGAGCCAGAGGTCTGTCCCAACACCACCAATGCTGTTGAAACTGAAGTAACCAGAAAGAGATCTCTGCAAAGAAATAAATTAAAGACAGATAAGGTATTATCAGTGGAGATATAAGGTCTCTCCCAGAGGCAGACTTCCATCTAAGGAGGTGGTACTTCAAACTTAAATTTGGAATTGAGTATAACCAATGCTGTAAGCGTACCAAAGCTTTGGTGTGCTCACTGACTAACCTGGAAGGAGCAGCTGGCCACTTGTAAAAATGTCAGAGGAGCTACCCTGAAGCCTATTTTGGTACCAAAACAAAGACTCATCTGCGTTACAAGTACTGAAGTACTTAAGGACTTATGCTTTGAGGCCTTCTCAGCTACTTAGCAGAAGCTTTATGAGATCAAGAGAAGCTTGTGTTACTCACTGAGACCTAGCAGCTTGAGTGGAATCTGAGCATAGATTTCTAAACCAACAAGTTATGGCTCACAGAGACATCTCAAGCAATAGTCAGGTCCATCTGTAATGGACATCTTATGACTACATAAGCTATGTAGTCATAAGATGTTTTAAGCTACTGGACTACTCCTCTGACCTTTTCTAAAAGCAGAACAGTACAAAGCAACAACAACAAATACAGTATAAACCCAGTGTCTATAAGAAAACTCAAATGAGGCTATAAAAGTAAATTTAAGGTCCATGAGATGCTGAGGTTGGATCTCTTCATAATGTTCAGAATTACATGTTAGTGTGATAGAGGGAGAGGTAAATTCATGTAAAAAATAATATGAAAGACTAAAGTCAGCTACTGCTACAATAGCAACAGCTGTCAAGAGGAATTTCCCCAACAACAGCAATGGGAAAAAAAATTACAGGCAACAGAGGGTGTTGTAAGTCTTCAGTCATAACTGATGTGCACTGCCTGCTGAGGTTTAATTTACAGCTTAGAGAATTCCCACCTGTTCTGCACTAGGACCACTGACCCAGCAATATACTATTACTACATTTTTGGTAAAATCCACAACTCTTATCAAGTATAGTGATATGGTTATCTGGAGGAAACTACTCAACATGATTTAAACATTCAGGAGCATTTTGCTTTTGCATTTAAAAGTAGTTTCAGATTTCCAATTTTTGTATATTGCCTCCCTAATCATTGCACCAATCATATATCCACTTGCGGTGGGGGGAGGGGGTGTTTCCACCTTAGAGCACTATACATGTTTTGAATTCTTAAATTTGCTTTTGAATTTGAACACCTCTATATTGGGAAAAAATGGCCATAGTTGTGATTTCAGTATGTTTTTAATACTTCAGCTTTTCATTTACTTCCCCTTTCCCATTGACATAAGTTATTATACTTTTGAAACTTCATGCATTTTCGAAACAAAAGAGCAATATGATATTCTCGCAGGTTCTGCATCCTGAAAAAAGTCCTGTTTAGTTTTATTTCAGGGCATTTAATCTGTATCACATGCTCAGGCATGCAGTGAGTGAAACAGGCCAGTTTCTGACTAAAGGAGAAACACTGTTGTAAAATGCTTATAAAGTTAACACTCTTAGTGTTAACAGTATAATTTCATTTTCAAACATTACATAGATTAAAAATTATTTTTTGTCTAGCACAAGAAGAGAATAGGTTAATCAGAAAAATGAGGTGAAGTTAAATAGTTTCCTTCTTAAAAATAACCACAACCATGCATGATAAAAGTTGCTTCTACAAAATACGGTTACTGATGAGATTACATATTTAACAAATTTTCACTAAGGTACTGCGCTCCCTATATGCATGAGTCTTTCACCTTAAAAGATGGAGAAAGAACTTTCAGTTCACTATAAAAAGTGGAGACACGAAAGATGACTTGCAATGGGGGAAATAACTGACTTGTATAATTTTTTGGTTTTTTATGTTAGTCTAAAAGATGTTTGTCAAAAAGGGTTTCACTTTTTTTTACATTCGACATTCTGGTCCTATCTACTTTGGAATCAAGGTGGATAAAAATCAATGATTTTTTTAAAAATAAAATTTAAAAAATCAGATTTTATTTAAATAGTTTTCTTTTGATAAAATGCTTTTTGAGGAAAAACCTATCTAAAGATAGTTTTAATTAAGATACATTATAGTTCAAAAATATCGCATCATGGAATAGGGATTATAAATTCTAATTCTATAGTATGAGACAATATATTCATGTAATGTTTAAGAAAAGTTTTGTGAATGAGTTCCAATAGTTCATGGATTAGGGACCCAATCTTATGGGGTTCCAGGGGCTTCTGTATAGATTAATCTTTCTATCTACTCAGTGCTCAGTCTAGAAGACACCATCAGAGATGCTTAGTTTTGCAGTTTTCAAATTGTGGATTTGTCTCTTCAGAGATAACATGCTTGTTAACAGCAAAAGTGTTTTAAAATAAATAATATAGAGAGGTGAGAAACAACAGACCTCAACCCTATTGTCCCTCTGCAAATTTGTGTACACAGAGTCAATCCCTCACCTCTCTCTAGAACAGCAAAAGTTTCAAAAAGTTCAATGAATAGAAGATTATTGAGGGCGGAATAGATCTGGACAAGGAGAAGAAGTCTGGAGACAAATGTGAGAAGCAAGGGACAGGCAGTAGAAACGGAAGTGGAACTGTTTGAGCAGCATATTCCAGAAGTCTTGAGGTCTTTCTGAGTGTAGCCTTCATTGATTTGAAATCTACCACACCATTCTCTAACTCGAAGGAAAAACCTATAATGGCAGCAGGCCATAAGAGAGACCCAGTTTGGGAATATTTTAATGAAGTTCTTCTACCTGTGGGTAAGACAGACACACGTGCAAAATGCAAACAGTGCAACAAAGAAATGCAAGGCCTGGTTTCCCGAATGAAACATCATGAAAAGTGTTCCTTCTCAGGAGGAAGCTGCATTGAAGATGATGAAAGGAACCTGTCTGAACACGCAGGATCTTCAGGTTTGTAAACTTTTTTATTTCATAATTCTTTCTTAAGGACTGCCTGTTTTTCTTCTGGGACTATTCTTGAATTCTCATGTTTGAGCAAAAAATATAGTTGTTACTCTATGGTACTATCATTTTAGATGCAGTTGTGATAAAAAATAAATAGCTGAAATAGGTAGATCTTCCTTCTATAATTTCACCTTTAAAGTAGTACTGAATGTCAGTGAACGCAATGAGTAATATTAAATGAGCAGTTTGGTAATAAATTAAATAACTGCATGGACTTATTTTGTTTAGGAAAATCCATCCTGAACATACAGGATTCTGAAGATCATCCACCTTCAAGATCACCATCATTTTCTATAGTTTCAGAGTTATCTGCCAAGGATAGTATTCCAGTCGCATCACCTATATCACATAGCCACAGTATATTACCTGTAGCAAAAAGAAAAAATCTCCATCATCCAGAAACAACCATAGATAAGTTTGTGATAAG